AAATCAAACACCAACTTTTGGCGAACCATATATTAACTTTTATTAGTTCCTGTTCGGTGATATAGAGTGAGTCTTCTCTCCTGCTTTCTATCAGATCTTGCCGACTAAGCAACCAATGCATTCTAAAAAATTTATTTGGACCGAGTACTGTTAAATAAAGAACACTTTCCAAACACAATATAATTCATGGATTGCCATTACCTATGAGATGACGCCCAAAAGTTCACTGCCATTGCGAGTATTGTAAGACCGTAAGAAGAAGATTTCATATCTGATATGATCTTCATATCCTTATAATCTCAAATGTGATCCCGTGAGTGTGTGATATTCGTCACGTATAAAAAGAGATTCACGTACATCATGCATTTATATTCACCATGTGGAGTTTTTCCTCAGGCCCCAATGTTCCAGCCATTCGTACAAAAGTATGGTCGAATGTTTCATATTTTACGGTATTGGGTTGCAAGCATTATTCCCGTTCCGTGCAACCTTCTTCCGCAGTACGCGTACGTTTCGCTCCAAGTCCGACAGGAGGTCTTCACCTTGGAGGTTTGAGGACTGCGTTATTTAATTTTCTGTTGGCAAAGAGAACGGGGGGTACTTTTATTTTGAGAATTGAGGACACGGATAAAGTACGCGTGGGATATCGTACATATTTCAATGATGCTCTTCACTGTAACAAATTTTCACCGAAACAAGATTATTCCGCGACATATAGGCTCGATGTATTCCTGGTGCTGTGGAAAATATGATATCCACTTTATCTTGGGCTGGCTTGGACTACGACGAGGGTCCTGGTAAGAACATGCATTACGGTTCCTGTTACCAGGTAAAAATTTTTTTCATTCTCACATGCATGCATACGTCACATTGTGTCTTTAACCAAGTTGATTCTAGTCCGAAAGGATAGAGATATATAAGTATTACGTCGACCGACTTCTTAAGGTGAGGTCGATTGATCATCTTTACATGGAGATTTGCTCAACTGATTGCAGCTGTTGCATCGTTACTAGGAAGGAAATGCTTACAGATGCTTTTGCTCTCCCGAGAGACTTCTTCAAGTGAGAACACTTGCTCAAAAAAACGGCAAAGGAGTTGCATACGATCGCCATTGTCTGTACCTGAGCCAAAGCGAAATTGACGAAAACTTATCACAGGGTGTCCCCTTCACAATTCGTTTAAA